AGAGTAGGAGAATGTTTAAAAGATTATTATGAATCCTTTGGCCCAGAAAAGGTGCCTGTTCCCACCTTTTCTTACTGGAACTTAATTAATGAACTTCTTAAATGTTCACCCTTTGACAATGGTACTTTAAAACTTGTCAGGATTGGGGAAGAGGCTATGCAAAAGACCTCTTGTCCCCCCTCTGCATACCCTTCAGTTATAGACACAGACCCTTCTCAGTCTCCCCAGGACCCTGGGAACCTTCCGGCCTGCTCAAAACCTAAGAAATAAGGCTCCAACAGTTACCAACCACCTTTATCCAGTTTTAAATCCTGGAGACACATTGACCCCTGGAGAGGAGGCTACCTTGGAGAAGGAAGCAGCTTGCTACCATTCAGAAGACCTGCCACCTCTCAGGACCCTGCCACAGTCTATAGGACTCACACATCCACCTCCCTCCTATATCCCTCCTGCCTTTTGTGCTCAGGCCCTTCAGGGGCCAACTGCCCCCTCAGATATTTTTTCTCCACTTCCCCTGCCTGACCTGGCTCCCTTGCCAGTCACTCCAACATAGACGGGAACAGATCCAACTTTTAAAAGAATTAAGATCCCTTGACTCTGAGCTTCCCTCATTAGCCTTAGGCATGGAGTCAACCCGAGCTGGCCCAAGGCAGCCTAATACAAAGGCTAAGCCGGCACCATCGGCCTGTTCTCGCCTTCCCAGTCACCCGCAGTCAGATAGATAAGCCCGCCAAGGCTGAGGACAAAGAGGAGAAAGCAGAGGAAACAGATCTAGAGGAGGAAGCCAAGGAAAGGGATCAAGGGGATGAAGCCGGGGGAGGGCAAGAGGAAGATCAGGACGCAGAGGATGAGGAGTTCATCCCTAGGCAGGAAGGAACCCAGAGTGTTTACAAAAAATTAAGCCTGCGCTTTCTTGAAAAACTTAAAAAGGCTTGTGCTCACTCTCACTATGGACCCACTGCGCCCTACACATTGGCTTTACTAGAGAGTCACAGTGCACAATGGCTTACTCCTAATGATTGGAAATTTTTAGCCCGAGTTACCCTCAGTGCCAGAGACTTCCTGTTATGAAATGCAGATTTCAAAGAGCACTGTTGGGAAATTGCTCAAAAAAATTTAACTAAGGCCTCCTCTAAATCCTGGACTTATGTTAAGCTAGTGGGCAATGCGCCTTTTGACACTAACCCTAAACAGGCGCGTTTCCCTGCTGGACTTTTGGCGCAGATTCAGATGGCTGGCTTACAGGCTTGGAGACGCCTCCCTCAAAAGGGCTCAGCTACCACTTCCCTAGCAAAAATTCCACAAGGGCCTGATAGCGACTTTGTTGTCCGGCTTAACCTAGCCAGGGAACGCCTGCTTGCACCAAGCGAAAGCGAAAGCACCTTTGTAAAACATCTTGCCTTTGAAAACGCCAACCCGGGCATGTCAGGATGTTCTTTGACCAAGTAAGGATAAAGGGAAACTTTCTGACTTTTATTAGACTCTGTGCCGGGGTGGGTGCAGCCCATGCCTTGGTTCTGGCCATAGGTGCTGCCTTTACCAAGGCCTTTCGCAATCCTGGCTCACATACTTGCTTTACTTGTAAACAACCTGGCCATATTGCACGCCAGTGACCGACAGGCAAACAAAGCCTAGGGATAGCATCTCCTCAAACTGGGGCTAAACCGCCCCCAGCCACCCTTTGCCCTAGATGTGGTAGAGGTCGTCACTGGGCCAGTGAGTGTAGATCTAAGGCAAATGCCCTTGGACAGCCTACTTCTTCCCGCTTCTTGGGAAACTCCCTGCGGGGCCAGCCCCTGGCCCTGACCTCCCCCAGGACAAACCCAGGGGCAATAAGGTTTGTTCCCTCCCAAACCCGCAACCTACCTCAAAATCCTTCTCCACGATTGCCTCCCTCCAACGAGCCACCCCAGGCAGCACAGGATTGGACCTCTGTGCCACCACCAATACAATATTAGACTCCATGCAAGGGCCCCAGATAATACCCACTGGAATTATGGGTCCCCCTCCATCTCATACGTGTGCCCTTATTCTTGGAAGAGCCTCTACTACCTTACAAGGTGTTCAGGTCTTCCCTGGTATTATTGATAATGATTTCACTGGAGAAATAAAAATACTGGCCACAGCTATTAATGGAGTTGCGGCCATCTCAACAGGAACAAGACTTGCACAATTAATACTCCTTCCCTTAGATTCAGGAGGCACTTCCACCACCCAAACCCTACCGCGGGGGACTGCCTCCTTGGGCTCCTCTGATGTGTATTGGGTTCAGCCCATTTCTCACGATAGACCCACCCTTACCCTACTTATTGAAGGAAAGGACTTCCAAGGAATTCTAGATACTGGGGCTTATACCACAGTTATCTCTCAAATATACTGGCCATCAGGTTGGCCCCTCACCCCATCCTTGACTGACCTTAAAGGGACACGACAGTCAAAAAATCCTCTGGTCAGCTCTAGCTAAACTGATAAAGAGGGTAATAAGGGAACTGTCACTCCTTTTGTTGTTCCTGACCTCTCTGTTAACCTATGGGGCCAAGATATTTTGAGTCAAATGGAAGTTATTCTTGCCAGTTCCAATTCCATGGTGACTCATCAAATGCCTCGTATGAATTTTGTTCCTGGTATAGGCCTTGGGAGACTGAGACAAGGACTGGTTGAGCCCATACAACCCATACCAAAAACAGATACATATGGACTTGGGTATTCGGATTTTTAGTGTCAGTCCCTGACCCTCCTGTACCCCATGCAGATAAGATTATTTAGGAGACTCAGACTCCTGTGTGGGTGGATCAGTGGCCCCTTACCCAAGAAAAATTGGAGGCTGCCTCCATGTTAGTGCAGGAACAGCTGGCAGCCAGCCATGTAGAGCCCTCAACCTCACCATGGAATACTCCTATTTTTGTTATCAAGAAAAAAATCAGGCAAGTGGCGCCTTTTACAAGATTCACGTGCCATTAATAAAGTTATGCACCCGATGGGAGCACTACAGCCAGGCATTCCCACACCAGTGGCTATTCCCAAAAACTATTGTAAAATGGTTATTGACTTAAAAGATTGCTTTTTACCATTGCTTTACATCCTGAGGATAGACCCTATTTTGCCTTTAGTCTCCCTCGCATTAATTTTCAGGGCCCTATGCAGAGGTTCAATGGAAGGTTCTTCCCCAAGGTATGGCTAACAGCCCTAGTCTTTGCCAAAAATACGTGGCTCAAGCAGTAGACCCTGTGAGAGAGCGATGCCCACAAATTTATATTTTACATTATATGGATGATTTGTTAATTGCTGCACCTAATACCCATGACCTTAATAATTGTTACTTGGACCTTTACAAAGCCCTCACTACTTTGGGACTACAGATAGCTCCTGATAAGATTCAAACACAGGACCTTTATACCTATTTGGGGCTTAAACTTCAAGATAATCAGATCCAAATTCCTAAAATGCAACTACGTGTAGACCATCTTCACACCCTTAATGATTTTCAAAAATTACTGGGGGATATTCAATGGCTAAGACCATATTTAAAATTACCCACTTGTGTACTTCTGCCCCTTAATGATATTTTGAGAGGTGATTCCCACCCCTCCTCCCCTTGAAAGCTTACTCCTGAGGCACGACAGGCATTAAACCAAGTTACAGAAGCAATTGCCCAACAGTTTGTTACACAAATTTCTTATAACCTTCCTCTGGTTCTGGTTAATTTATACATTCCTCATACACCCACAGGAATATTTTGGCAGTGAGATCCACATTTTAAAAATAAAGGCTGCCCCTTGCTTTGGGTCCATCTACCTACCACATCCTCCAAGGTTATTACTGTTTATCCTGCTCAGGTAGCTTCTATTATTATCAAAGGCCGCTTGCTTTCTCGACAACATTTTGGCAAAGACCCTGATAATATTTTAATTCCATACACTAAGGACCAAACCCAGTTTTTACTGCAGACAGGGGATGAATGGGGTATTGCCCTATCAGGCTTCTTGGGAACAATTGATAACCACCTCCCCAATGACCCCCTTTTACATTTTGCCCAATTACATCCATTTATTTTTCCCCAAATTACTCAAAAGGCTCCCATTCCTCAAGCCCTTACTGTCTTTACAGATGGTTCCAGTAATGGCCGTGCGCTCTTTGTTGTCAATAACCAGCCTACTACCTTTGATACTGTCTATCAGTCAGCACAGCTCATGAAATTGTTGCCATAACACAAGTTTTTATAACATTTTTTGATAAGCCTGTTAATATTTATACAGACAGTGCCTACATTGCTCACTCTGTGCCCCTGCTGGAGATTTCACCTGCCATTAAGGCTTCTTCCAATGCGGCTTTTCTGTTTCACCAGCTTCAGCAGCTAATTCAGGCCAGACAACACCCATTTTTCTTAGGACACATCAGGGCACACTCTGATCTTCCTGGCCCTCTAACACAAGGTAATGCCCAAGCTGATGCAGCAACTCGTTCCATCTTTCCAATTTTTGTTGGCTCCGTTCAAAAGGCCATGGAATTACACAATCTTCACCATCTAAATTCCCAGAGCCTTCGATTACTTTGTAAAATTACCAGGCAGCAGGCACGAGAAATAGTAAAAGCATGTCCTGCTTGCACTCTCTCCCTCCCCATTCAACACTTGGGAGTTAACCCCCGAGGATTGCTGCCCAATCAGATTTGGCAAATGGATGTCACTCATTTTCCTGAGTTTGGAAAAAACAAATATATACACATTTCTTTAGATACCTTCAGTGGCTTTATTTTCGCATCACCACATTCCGGAGAGGCTACCAAAGATGTCCTTTCTCATCTTGTTTCAGCCTTTTCCATAATGGGTAAACCAATACATATTAAAACAGATAATGGTCCTGCATATACCAGTGCCAAGTTTAAACAGTTTTGT